GCGAGAACCTGGGAAAACGAGAGAGAGAGAGACGGGATATTGTTCCACTTCTTAGAGAGAGAGGGGGGATTATTTTGAGTGTGCTGGAGAGAGAGAGAGAGAGAGAGAGAGAGAGCATGTGTATCGCTGCGTGGGCATGGCGAGCTCATCCCTTGTACCCACTCATCCTCTTCTTCAACAGAGATGAATATCTCAACAGGTTTGATTTTGTCTCTACACTTACTTAAATTCATACCCAGTTTAACTCTTTCACTTTCATCAGTATATATGAATATGGGTTCCAGTTGTGGAGTGATTGAGATAAAATTTGAACTACTCAGGCCTACAGAGGCAGTATCATGGTGGGAAGAGCCTGAAATTCTTGGTGGAAAGGATGGCATTGGAGGGGGCACATGGTTGGCTTGCTCAAAGGATGGACGATTCGCTTTCCTCACCAATGTTCTTGAAGTGGATCAACTTCCTCTTGCCAAAACAAGAGGTCAACTTCCTGTTCGATTCTTGCAGGTACCCATATCTCCGCCGATCCTCAGTTTCTCTCTCCAAGCTACCAAAGAAGTAGTTTTTCTCTCTCTAAACTACCCATGTTCTCTTCTCTGCTAATTGGTGATCAATCAGCACCCCTGTTTATTGTTTTGCAGCTTTTGCTCTGCTTCAAGCTTCTTTCATGGTTGTTTTCTTTGATTTGATAGGAACCCTCATTCTCTCTCTCTGCCTACAAAGCCATGATTAGGCAAAAACTTTCTTCTTGAATTAGAATATGGTTGGCTTTGCCGAATATTTCTTAGCTATTGCTTTTTCTTCTTCCTTTTTGTTTTTTTTCTTTGCTCTTTTCTGAATTATCTGGTTTAAGTTATTGCCAGTGGCATTGGTAGAATTTCTTGAATTTGTTCATAACCAATATAATTTTTTCTCTCTAGAAATCCATGTCTGGGAAAAAACCGTGTTCTTGGATTTAGATGCATTGGACAGCGCCATTGGTTACCTAAATTTGGGGTTTATTAGATTTGTTTATTTCTCTCTATGTTGAATTCGAGTATTGGTTTATTGCAGAGTGAGAACAGCCCTTTGGAGTTTGCAGAGGAAGTTGCAGAGGAAGCGCTTCAATATAAAGGCTTTAATCTGGTTCTAGTTGATCTTCACACCGAAACCATGGTGTATGTTACTAACAGGCCAAGTGGAGAGGCAGTAACCATTAAAAAGGTTTCTCCAGGCCTTCATGTGCTCTCAAATGCTTCATTGGATACCCTCTGGCCTAAGGTATTTCTATGAACTTGATAGGTCTCTTGATTGTTTTCTTATTTCAATTTTTGTTTTGAAAAGTAAGTTGGGTTCTTTTGTTTCTGTTGTAATTTGTGGTAAATGTTGTTTGAACGTTGAACAATGGAAATCTGGGGTTCTTTTGTTTCTGTTGTAATTTGTGGTAAATGTTGTTTGAACGTTGAACAATGGAAATCTGGCAAATAAAATGCAAGACAAATGCCAAACTGGTTAGGAGGGAAACTAGACAAATGCCAAACTGGTTAGGAGGGAAACTAGACAAATGCCAAACCGATTAGGAGGGGAAACTAGACTTAGGTGGGCTGGCCATGTACTGCGTAGACCTAATATAACACCAGGTAAGAGGTCTAATTTTGTTTAAGTAGAAGGCTTTGAAAGGAAAAGGGGAAGACCCAAACGGAAATAGATAGAAGTAGTGAGAAAAGATACGGTGACTTTTGGTCATACTGAGAGTATGAACCTTAATAGAGAGGAATGGAAGAACAAGATTTATGTAGCCTACCCCAAATAATTGGGATAAGGCTTAGATGATGATGATTAGGGATTCATTTTTTTAATATATAGTTACTCTAGGGTCATCATCACTTCAACACTGCCTCTTTATTTACATGTGTATGCATTTTACATTAAGCTTGCAGACATTCAATTTTTACGAGATCATTTTACAATGTTGGCTTTATGGCCCTGCTATTTTCTTGGTTTCTGTGTCTGTCGATGAAGGTTTTTTGGGTTTATTCATGAATTGACTGATGGCTTTTATAACAGAAGATCAATTACCTGTAGCGTACTAGCTGATAATTCATACTCCTGAATCTTGTTGGGAACTATCTATCTTGGATGCAATCTCAAATTCGCAAGAAGGTTAAGTAGAAGAAAACAACAAACTTGTTTAAAACTTTAAACATTGTATTCGAGACATGTAGCAGAATGACCGGCATATTTACCATATGATTAAATTTCTCGTTTTCTTGTATTGTGTCTTCACTAATTTTTACTAGACATGTTTTACTTTAAACAGCAGAATGTAAAATACAGTAGAGAACTAAACCATCCACATGTCTATGAAAAAATAAAAATCAAGTGCTAAAAATAACCTAAATATCATTTGTGCAAAGAGATATTGGAAAGGAAACTGTATACTATACACGGTCAAATCCCAGTCCACCTTGGAACGCGGAAATGAAATGGCTTTTCAATTTGCATTGTGATTATTGTCCATTGCTGTCAATAAATGAGAAAGGATTTTCTGGTCAATGTCCATTGTGATTATCTTTAATCATATTAAATCATATTTTCTAATCTTCAGTAGATTTTTGTCTTCTCATACAATGTGACACCAGGATTATGGCTCGGTTTTGTTCCTTTGATTCGTGAGGTGGGACAACCTGTTAGCTGGCCTTATGTTGAAGCAGGATGAGCTCCAATGAGTTAATTCTTCTTTTCGACTGGTGTAAAATTATGGGAAACAAGTTTTATAATTATCCTTTTATTTGATTAAAATGAGTTGTCACATCGATAACTTGTACTGGTGGTATGGATTGAATTGATTTGTGACTTCCAACTAATATGTGTATACAGTAGTAGACATCATACAGCAATTGAAGTCCAGTTTCTACAAACATTTCAGAAATATATAACAATTATTGATTTGTATCACTCTACAAAGTAATATTTTAATGAATGAGTTAAAATTCATGACACTCACCGTACGTCTTTGACTCAATTGTGAAATCCTTGTCAGATAATTGGTAAAAGGAGTTGTTGTGCCCATTGTTACTTCACCATTGTTAGTTATAAACTGTGGGAATGACTTTGTGCTTATACATTCTGCTTCAGGCTAATCGGCTGCGTAAAAATTTCAAGAAACTTCTTAGACAATATGGTAAAGAAGAGATCCATCAGATAAAGTTTCTCGATCAGTTGATGTTGGATACTACCAGAGCTGACAGAGAAAACCTGCCAAATACTGGCTGTGATTCAGACTGGGAACTCGGTTTAAGTTCTATATTTGTTGATACTCAGACTAAACAGGTAGACCATTGGATTCTGTTACTATCCTTGGGATTCTCTCTCTCTCTCTCACACACACACACACACAAAGAAAACAAAAAAAACAAAAAACAAGACAGTGATTCATATTCTTAACCAGACTTTGAAAATTAGACAGTGTGGTTTTCCCAGTTTGAAGTGGAACTGGTGATTGACAGGTCCGAGTCCCTAACTAAATCAGGACTCTGACCAATTCATCCCAAAATTATATTTTTATCATTTTTAATGTAACAATGAAATTGTTCTTAGATTGGTTTGAGAATCCCAAACTCTGTTTGAAGTTTAAACTTTTTAAACAACCAAAATTCAATAATAATATTTTTCTTCAAAAAAGTTGTCCTTGTAGCCAATCAGGCTCGGACTGGTAGGTAAACGGTCCAGCCCACCATTCTGATTTTTTAGACACTGTTCTGAACCATCGATCTAATTGCAGGGACGCTTGTGCACTCGAAGCATGATTGCACTCTGTGTAAAAGCCAACAGTGAAGTAAACTTGTATGAGAGATATCTAGAAGAGGGCATATGGAAGGAGCACTCCACATTCTATTTCATAAACAGCACCTGATGAAAACCACTCAATTTCAGGATTTGAACAGCCATTTCCAATAAATGCTGCGTTTTAGGGCTGTGAAAATTACGGGCAATTGCCGATGCCTATAATTTTCCAAATTTTAGTTTGCTCCTGGTGACAATTAGCTGTTCTCTAATTTATTTATTTGTCTATTAGCATCTAAACTCCAATTTGTGAGTTATACATTAGCATTTTCCATTATGTATTATAACTTTATAAGTTTTCTGGACTTGAGTTTTATTAAAAGCAAGCAGCAATTACTGATAAAATTTGTAGTTGGTTTGGATTTGCAACTAGAATAAGATGATGTTGAAGGGCCTCTATCAATCAAATATGTTTTACAAAGCCATGAAAAATTTGCCATTGTTTTTAAAGACTTACACTGCAGATGTTGTTCTATTTGATAATCACAATGACAAATGAGAGAGAGAGATGCTTCAATATTGGGATTCTCAGTTTCTCTTGACCCTCTTCAGTTAATGTGGGTTTCTGAAAGGACTGTATATGATCAAAATGGCATAATAAATTAAGAAGAATAATATAAATGGCAGATTATATAATGGGTGCGGTTTGTATAGAGCTTAGGCTCTAAACAATCAAATTAGAGCCTACCTTCAAATAGTATAGAGAAATGTGGTTTCACTATACTGAAATCTT